GAAAATGGGTACATCACTCAGTTTTTGGAATGCCAATTGCCACACAAACTTTGCACAGAATCAGTAAGGACTATGGGACATTGAATCTCCACATTAAGGCAGAAGAAACTTACTTTAAAAAAAAGCTGATAAACTTCTACAGCATAAATACAGTTGCAAGGAAAAAGCAGCATTTTATCTAGGCCAATAAATGGGCTCTGATTAGAAATTAAGTGGTGCTCCCACAGAATTCAGCCATTTCTCACTAATTAGGACATTCCTTAATGAAGTGGACTGTGGTATAAAGCAAGCAATTCAGGGCTGTATGCTTATTTATCTGATTCAACTGCATTAGCTAAATGTCAGTGTTTTTGCCAGCAGCCTATGCTGCAGCCATCAGAGCAGTGACAAGTCCTGCTTCTCCAGCTACAAACAAGGAACAGAGTGGGGCGGTGGGGAGGAGACTGCTGAGAGCATAGAAAATGCTGTATTTAAACAGTTCTGTTTGCTTTTCTGTTTAAAAAAAAAAAAAAGATATATATATCTTGAAGATCTCCATTCTGCCAGAACACTGGCACTTTGCAAACACTGCCAACACAAACCCCTTCGAGCGAGCCAGCTGACATCAGCTGACCAAGGACATGAGGGAACTTTGGACATTTTATCCATTCCTCCTCAGACAGACAGCCTTTTGTCTTGGCCATCTGACCAAAACAAGCTCATGAGTAAAGGCAGAAGCTGCCTATGGAAGATGTGGTTCTGTCAGTGCAATCTGAGATACACAGTACCAGAAGAGAAGAACCCAATAGGATGTGATCTTTCAGGTATTTCCATTGGAGATGGCCAGTTCAGTCTGGCCTGTACTGATGATGAGGAAAAATAGTCTCATGTCCTTGCCTAGATTAAATGAGCTGGACAATTTCTATATAGCTCAAGCGGGTGATTGTTTGGAGCACAAAAGTTGCTATTGAAACTGGCTCCTCAGCAGGAGAGTAAACACTAAGGACTGAGGCTGAGGTTGCTGCATCTCTGGAATGAGATCTGTGCACTCAGAGCAGCCACTATTTGTCTGAGACATGGGACATGAAGTTCTATTTTCCAGAGCCAAGTTAGCCAGAGCTCACAACACAGATCTAATTTTCCTTTTATAACTTTATACCCACTGGAAGGGAGAAAGGAATGCATGGGAGGAAGGTAAGTCGGGTGATACCTGGTTGAGCTCAAAGCCTTTTGGCACAAAAATTAACAAAGCCAAATTTTTGCAACAAATCACAACCAGCAGAAAGATCAACACAACCTGCATTGAGTGGCTCTGCTGTTTTCAGTCTAGCCCTGGGAGACATCCAGATGTCTTGTGTTATCAGGCCTTACCTTCTGGAAACTTTTCCATGCCAGATACTTGCAGAGCAAGCTGAGGCCACGGGGAGCAAACTCCAGGGAGCTGTACTGGCCCACAGAAGTCCTGGGTGCTTCTATTCTGTCTTCATACACTGAGCAAGCTATTCATGCTCTCCTATGAAGGCTGAGAGAAATGGGACCGTTCAGCCTAGGGAAGGGTTGACCAGGTTGAACACGGCTTTGAGCAGGGTTTGGTGAGTTCCACACTTTCTGTCTAGACCTGTCTGACTCAGGGCCAGTCCCTGCAGGCCATGACAGCCAAGAAAGAAGCTAAAGATTCCTATGAAATCCCACTTTAAGGTGTGCAGCCTGGGATTGTTGGTGGAATATTCAGTTTGGAGCACTATTGGGTGACTGGTGGGTGCATTGGTGAGGCACTGTGAGAGGGGCATGCCCTCATGCATAGCCTGCAGTTTACTTTCAATTTTGAAGCATCTAAACATGACCAGCCTCTTCTGCAGTGTTTTGTTAGCTGTGTAAAACTTGGTGTGCTCGAGGATGAGAAAGAATGTGAAACAGAACTTGTAGTTGAATTCTTTTTTAACTTGGTGTATTTATGCCTGCATCTTAACCACTCCTATTTTTACTTCCACACTCCTAGATTCAGAAGGCTCTGACTTTAGGGAAAAACAAACCAAAAATTGTGCTCCCATCTCCATACGACAAATGTGTTGCACAAGCATGGGCACTTCTTGGAGCACACAGAAATTGCTGCCTTTCACATCTCTCAAGCAAGGGTTGTTTTAGTATGGGCCCAGCTGTAATACAAAAGGGTTATGCCCATGGCAATTGAAATCTGCAAAAATTTAATATTCAGATCATCAATACTGCAAATACATTTCAAACATTCTTGTGTCCCAGGATAATAGCTACCTAATTAGGGTAAGCCTTTCACACTTTCTCTTTGATCTCACTGGATTTATTTACCAAAAATCATTGCACGGTTGTGCCCAGCAAATGTCTTACAGAAGTGCTTGTAACAAAATTAAAAGCTTAAATACAGAGATTCTCTCTCCACTAAGTACTGGCTTTTATTAAAACTGGGAGTTGCTCATACTTCACCTCTTGCAGCCTCTTTGAATCCTCTGTTTGACATTTCAAAAGTGCCGTGCAGGTTCTAATACACATTACACAGAAAGAGCTATTATAAAATTCCTGAGTTTTTCTTGTTTGCACGACAAAAGGGGAATGGCAAATCCTCCAATTGGACCAGATAATCACTCTCCTGTGAAAAGCCTGCAATACACATCCTCTGTTTTCTTCTTAGCTGAGCTTCAAGTGTGTTTGGTCAATAATTTTATTTTGGGTGTGAAGCCCATAAATCACCTTCCAATACACATTGGACAGTGGAGAGTCCTGGTGGATTTGGCATCAGCCACAGGAGAAATCACATCCGGATACAGGAAAGCTGGGTGCTGCTGGAGCAATCAGACATTTTCATTTCACGTTGTTGTGGTCTTTTGAAGAACACTCACTGCAGAGTAGGACTGCTCTCTGGAGCAAAGACTAACTGGATGGGTAAATAATTATGGGATCATATCTTCTGAGATAAGAGAGAGACCATTACAAATCTATGGATTGCAGTTTTATCCGGGTGACCATATAAACCTAAAAAAGTCCCTGCTGGAACTGAGCTGGCCAACACTTAGAGAGCCTATCTGAAGAAAACTTTGTCAGCCATCTGAGCATTGCTCAGGTGCTTTCCAAGCCTCTGACACAGCTCGTTGTGTGACCAGTTATTTTGCCCTGGCCTCTGGGAATCAGTAATGTGCCATTTGGCTGGAGAGACTGTCCTGAGGGAAGAACTGGGTGTATGGAGCTTTCCTAAAGGGCTGAGAGGTCACAAAGATTTCAGAAAGAAACCTTCCCTCTTATCTGCAAGCACAGGAGTATGTGACATGAGCTGAACTTGAAGCTGACAAGTGAAGTGGATATTTTTCACTCCTGTTTGTGTCTTGGGAATGGATGTATTTTGAATTAATGTACAAATGCATGTCTAAAATTCATCTCCAGAGAAAGATGCTACACAAAGTGCAGGATTAAAGAATGCACTGCCTTGGGCCATGTGCAGGCTGTTACTTTGTAGTCTGTTCCATTTTTGTCTTAAAACTCAATTTAGCTAAATAAGGTGCCCTTTTAACATCTAACAAGGGCTTTATCATGCTTAAGAAGACAAGTTTCTTAAAAGGTTGTAAAGACAAAGTGAGCAGTAACAGAAGTGTTGAGTGGGCTCTTTCAGACGGCTTTATTGCCTTCCCCTGAGTACAAAACAGGCTGCCTCCCTCGGCTGACACTTGTTTTAATGAGGGATGAGCCCCAACGGGGTGATTTTGTACAAGTTCATTACATGGCATCCTCCAGCCAGACTGTCCTCAGGGCACACCATTCAGTCTAGGCATTGGGTGAAACTGGACCAATATTAAATCATTTACAGAGGCATATAAAATCCAAAAGGCCTTTGATGCTGAAGACATTTGTATGTAGGCTCAGGTATGTGGCTGCTGGAAAGGATGAGAATCTGCCCCAAGTGCCATGCTTCTTCATGCTTTTATCAATCACATTTTATTTCTTTAATTCAATTCTCCTGAGATTGGTGGCAAAAATAGATTTCCACATTTTATGCCAGCAAAGGCCAGGGAAGAAAAGGGTGTAAGTTTCCAGTTCAAATGTTACAAGGTAAACCAGCCTCCTTACCCCAGCCTTCAGATCACCTTCCCTCTCCAGAGCCACTGCTCTATTGTGGCTGTTAATAGCATTCAAGATACTGATATTCCCCATCCATGCTGAATATGGAATGGTACAGTGGTTTCTCATGTTCACTGAGAAGTGATCTGCCTTTACATAAAGCCTTCTTCTTCTAAGCATGAGTATTATGAAACCCACAGGAATCCATAAAGAGTGATGGGACGTTATTCTAAAATGCCACATCCGTACATCTTCCACCTTCTGTGATTCAGAAGCAGCATAAAAGGCCATAAATCTTTCAACTGCTGTGATTCACTGCCCTGATTCATACACTTCATACAAATATTCAGAGATCAAAGTGGAACCTAATCCCCCTCCCACCCCAAAGATTTAAATGATTTTTCAATGCTTACCATAAAAATGGACTTCCAGCTAAAGCTAAATCTTCTCCTGATTGATATAGACTGTTTTAGGTAGCAAGTTCTCTGCAGTAAAGATTGATGAAGAATCATGTGGCATAGTACATAAAGCAATGTATTCTGCAGTTGTGCTTCCTCCCTAGCAAGGCTGAAGAGGGGACACTGATTGCTCAGGGGGCTTCTGGGCAAATATTTACAGGGAATTTAAAAAAAACTGAATTTTTAAAAACGTGAAGGAATCTGGGACCCCCCCCTAAACCTTCTTGTATTAACTTTGCAGCGGATGAAGGTGTTAAACTGGCATGTGTCTACCAACAAGGGAGTGATCCTTTTAAGTCCTTTGCTTCATCCCCACTTGTGAAATTTGTTGTGCCAGTGGGACGAGGCTGGCTATAAAACCCCAGTGCCGGGGACCTCCATCCAGCTCGGGCAGCCTGCCAGCACATCTCTGCCGAGAGCAGCCCCAGGGAGATCCCCCCTTCGTCTCTGCCGGGCAGGGAATTGCTTGGCTGACAGAGGATGGACCTGAGGAGTGCCTGGATGCTCTGCGTGCTCTGCCTCGTCCTCACGGTCCAAGCGTTTACCCAGGAAGGGCTCAAGGAGGTGGTACTGAAGCAGCTGGGGTTGTCCGAGGTCCCTAAACTTCACAAGAGAGACTTGGAAAATCTGGTTATCCCAGACCACGTCAAGAACAAGTACATGTCCCTGCTGAAGCGCCAGAGGGTGAAGCGCCGAGCTCTGCCGAGCCTGGCTGGCATCCTCAGGGGGATCCCGGGACACACAGGTAACGTTTCTGCTGCTGGGAGCATCCCAAGCACCCTGCTGCTGCCAGCGGAATCTGCCAGGGCTCTGCCGCAGGATGGGCAGAGGCAAACCCCTGAGGGGAAGGGGAATGAGGATGGGGTTTGGCTCCAAAGCTCAGCTGGGCAGAGGAGGTGCATGCAACAACATGGTAAAGATTAACAAGCGCTCTTTGCACCTGGACTGGGGGTCCCGCAGTCCTTCCAAGGGACAGGATACTGCTGGAGCTTGATAGCAGCCTTGGTACCCCGGGAACGGTCTGGGCAGGTGGGGGAAAAAAAGTACAGGCTATGTGGGTTTGGAGTGAAATCTACAGCAAGTCTTTTAATAGGAATCACATCTCTTGGAGGATGTTTCACTCTCTCTCATGTCTTTTGTATAGGTTTGTTTTTTACAGGAATAATTATCAAGGAGGAAAATAGATACAATAGCGGCTGTACAAAGACACTCAGAGCTTATTGTGCTTTCAAAGGACATACACAGCACCCTGGGCAGCAAATGAAAATACTTTTTCTTTCCAAGTGGTGCAGTTTCCTGCTTTCATGCCCAGCACTGGCACAGAGGTGCACACCTTTTGAGGTCTGCTCAATCTGAGGTCATACTATGTCAGAGATTTAGTTCTTCCAGACAATGCAGAGACTCAGACATAGGAGAATAATTAGGGCATTTGCAAGACATTGATTCAAGTATGCATTAGAAAAGCTGTGTTTAGTGGCTGTCTCTGCCACAAGGGCTCGACTGGGAGCATGGAAGGAGTGAGCAGCAGGATGGCAGTGACAGGCCATCTTTTTTGTCCCCAACTGCACAGGTATGACAGGAGAAGTCCTCTACTCTGACACAACCACACGCCAGAAGCTGATGTTTGACATGGAGGGCAGAATACCTAAAAACAGTGAAGTCACAATGGCTGAACTGAAACTCTTCAAAAAGCCTCTGGACAGAGCAAACCTGCCTGCCAAGCAGTCTCACAGGCCCGTCTCCAATGCCAGAGTCAGTGTGTACTGGGTGCAGCAGCAGCACGATGGTACCAACAGGACCTCCCTGATAGATTCCAGGTAAGAAAGGGGCAGGGATTAGACTTTGAGTACTCTGGGGTGATTTGGGTATCATGTGGCTGTGCCTCAGCTCAGTCTGATGGGGTTTACATCTGTACAACCAGGTTACATGGCCTCCAAATCCAGAATGAGCTTGTAAGAGCAGATATTATGCTAAGATGGCAATATATGATGATTCTTTGAAATAATCTATGAAATTATGCCATGTACTGCTATGTCTTCCCCTCTAAAATCCCCCACCTGTTTCAGTTTTCTGTCACTAACTCAGGTGGGTTACTGGCTGCTGGTATTCTTTCCAGTGGTCATTTCATTACCTTGTATAAACAAGTAAGTTACGCAGGAAGCTGCAGAAATCTGATTCTGTAATGGTGAGCTCTGTGGAAGTTTTGCAACCCTTGAAGGCAGAACTAGACTAGACTAGAAACTTATGGCCCTAATGCAGCTCAGACAGGAGCAGGTGGGAGCCTGGTGCTTACCAGACTGTCTTCACAAATACTGAGGCTGCACATGATCCTGCATCACCTAATTTTTTGTATGAGCATGTAGAGAGTGTTTTTTTCTGGCCCTTTAGTGTCTTTTTGATCTGCGTGCTTCTTTTTGAGGTGGCAGTTAACTGCTGTGGGTGCTCGCCCACAGCAAAAATGATCATCTAATCAAGGCATGTGACAATCTACAGGCAGTAAATCATTCTGCTGCAATAACAGATCTGTGAGGATTTATCTGATGGGATTTTCTAATGCCAAGCCCTTGTCGTACAGGCTGGTTCCTATTCGTGAGTCGGGCTGGAAGAGCTTTGATGTGACCCAGGCCGTGCATTACTGGCTGCGAAACAAGAGGCGGGAGCCGATGTTCCTGGAGGTGTGGATCGAAGGGGAAAGGCTGGGCAGCTACGCCTCGGAAATGGCCAGAGCCGTGCGCTTCACCTCGCAGGACCCCAAGGATAAAGCCCTGGGCAAGCCTGAGCTGGTGCTTTACACCCTCAACTTGGATGACTATGGGTATGTATGAAACCTAAATCTGTACTGTCTCGGGTGTAATTTTAATTATTAACTAATTTAACTATTATGGGGGCGCAAACCCCGGATAGGCAGCTCTTACTCTCACAAGTGTTTAGCAGCTGTGAATGGAGTAAGTAGTCAGAAAGCTATTGCTAAATCTCACCTCTTCCCATATTTGTTGTCTAAATACTCAAACAGACCTGAGCACAGTCCAGGTTTCGTATCTCAGAGTCCACCTGTGCTATCAGCGGCGGGGAGGATTTCTCCCACTTCCCAGTTTCCAGTCACAGCGCCCATTCTTGTTTCTCCCTTGGTGTCCAGGAGCCCTGGGGAGTGCAGTGAGGAGGCGGTGATGGGGAAATCCACCTGCTGCCGGCAGAAGCACTACATCAGCTTCCGCGAGCTGCCCTGGGCGCAGCACTGGATCCTGGAGCCGGCGGGGTTCCAGGCGTATCGCTGCTCCGGGAGCTGCCTGCAGCATCCCCGCTCCCACCGCCGCCTGGGCTCCGGGCAGCGCTCCTGCGCCGTGGCCGGGAGCTCGGCGCTGCCCATCATCTACCTCGTCAGGAGGGGCAACCACACCGAGATTGAGGCGGCCGAGTTCCCCAACATGATCGTGGAGAGGTGCAGCTGCCTCACGGACGGCGAGGCGCTGGTGTGATGAGTGGTGGCCTGGGGTGTCTTCCATGTCCCACAGCCCTGCCGAGAGCCACCCCGGCATCACCATCAGTGATGAAGGTCCTGAGGGGGCCCTGCTGCCCTGCAGACAGACTGCTCTTAGAGGCACTGTAAATGGGCTCAGAGGAGCATGCATTTCACAGACGTGAGAGGTACCTAAGGAGCTTAGCGCTTCTCGGGACCCCCTTGATGCCAGCTAAATGTCACTGAATTTATTTCAGCCCCACCCTGGAGTATTGCAAACAGCTCCGGCAAAAGAAGTGTGTCTATTACCAGGTGAAGAACAAACGCGTGGGCTCAGCTTTTCATTCTGAGGCTGAGTTTGGTCCTTGTCTGTGCAAGCTGTGTTTTTGGTGAGCTGGAGAGCAGAAGCACTTACATGTATATAATCTGTACACACACACACATTCGCATATGTACAGAGTGTATGAATAAATGTGTGTATTGTCTATATACAGGATATCTACATATAGATTACATACATATATGTATATGTACATAAAATATTGCCTAGAATTCGAAGGAACATATTTATGTTCATATGTATTGCATGTACGTATACATATCTACATGTATATAAAATATTATCTGAAACTCAAAGGATTATATTTTTGGCCCCTGCACCACAGGTTTAACCCAGTTTTAGTCAGAATTTAGTCATGGAATCAACAGGAACATTAGAACTTAGGTTTGCTTGCATGGATAACAGTTTTTTTTCTGAGTCTGTATTACAGTTATTTCAATTTAGGGATATTTTTCAAGTTATGTGTGCTTTCAAAATCAAGGAAAAAATAAAATATATGTATTAAAGTCGCTATGTGTTAGTTTATATTTGTTCTTAGATCTAAAAGTGGAGGGGAAAAGATCTGTCATACTTCTGTGAGCATCCAGTGCCCAGCTCCTATAAACATACACACAGTAACAGCTCTCAGCTCCACTTTCTTTGGGTGAAGCTTATCTGCTCCCCCAGGGGCTGGGCTGAATCAGCAGACAAAGCAGAGCCTACACTGCCAGCGCTTCATCCTGAACTGCTGCGGAGTTTAAGCCAACGTTTTCTTAAAGAGAAAACCTAGAATTTTATCTGCCAGCAGGAGGTGATGCTCTCCTCGTGAGCCGCAGCGGCGACAGAACCTGCAGGGGTCAGCTGGAGCTGTAGTGCAGGGAGGGATGAGCTGCCCCCATCCCCTTCCTGCCCAGGGAACCTGACCCTTCCTGTTGGACATCTGACTAACACATACCCTGGAGAATCGCTATGATAATGTAGTTTAATCCCTCTGTGAGCTGTTCTGAACTGCTGGCCAGGGTATCACCATGCTGATGATTTCCACCTTTGTGTCAGACTCCTGTCCTGGGTTCATAACCCACTGAGATGGCAGTGGCTCTAGGGATGAAGCATTTGCTGCTGACCATCTCTGTTGGGTGGTGGGATGTGGTCCCTGAGGCTCTGGTTGAACCTGCTGCTGGTGCAAGGACTCTGAAATTGTTTGTTTGACTAGACAGGGTGACCACGGTCTCTGGGAAAACAGGGGCCTGTTTGACTCTGCAGTGGATATGTGTCGTCCATCAGGAAGATGTGAGTGTTCCTGCTGCTCTGCAGGACCCCAGGTCAGAGGTCACCCAGGCATCTCTGCCATCACCTCATGGGCAGGCTGGCACCTCTCACTTGTGGAAACACCTGTGGCAAAAGAGTTTCAAGGGGAGCAAAAAAAGGCAAAAGCACAGACTCGCCATTCACCAGCGCTGGGCTACAGCACCATGGATGGCTGGAGTCAGAATTGGATGAGCTGGAATGATCTCTGGCCGTTCCCTTCTCATGACTATGTATATCGATCTTAATGACATTGGCATTCAGCCCCAGGTCCTCTCCACACAGCCCGGGGCAGGGCATAGCCTGAAGGTCAGGAGCTCAGCTATCACCTCGAAGAACAAGCTGATGATCTAGCCACACACTGAGCCTGGGGAAGAAAGTGTTTGAGCAGCTGGTTGCTGCCTGAGAATGAAGAGCATTAACCCTGGCTTCCCTCCAGCCTGCAGCGCTTGGACTTCAGACATCATTCGTCCTCCATCCCAGGAGAAATTCCATGCAGTGCAATTTGGGGCAGGTTGTTGTGGGAAATGGGGAGCAGAGCATCACAGGAGCAGCGGGGTGGACGAGGCTGCTCCCCTCCACCAGGATCCCGTGCTGTGCCCGGCGCCCCTTGCTTTCCTTCTGGCTGCCTTTGCTCGGGTGTCCTGTGGACAGGCGGTACACAGAAGCGAGCGCTGGGTCTGTGTGCATGTGTGCGACACCTGGAGGGCGGGAAGGGGGAGGCGGTGGCCAAGGAGACCTGGTGTTACTTTGGGGAGAACTGTGGGTATTGCAGGATGCAAATCTGTGAGCTATAAAGCCCTGCCTGCCCTGCTGCCTGCATGGACACTTGCATTTATTGCTAGGGCAGCTGTACAGATGTCACAGCATCTCTGCTGGTTTTGAGTTTACATTTGGATTGAAGCTCCCCACTTTTGGGGAGACAGGACACTACTCTTCTAAATTCCAGCTGGCATTGCAATGAAAATGTTGCAGACTTGGAGGCAACATTGATATGGCGAGGGCTCCAGAGACTTCTAAACTGCGAACTCCTGTGCAGAAGGCTGTGGATTAAATACTGCCACACCCGGGGTTTTTTCATACATCAGCCCGTGCTACAGGTAATTATCTCCCAGCCTGTCATCTTCAATCCAGGCTGCATTTGCTGTGACACCTTCTGCGTGCTACTTGCATGGGTACAACTTGCAATGCACACAAAGGCTGCCAAGCTGTCATGTTCTCCTTTCCGTCTGAGCAGCACCACAGTCTCTGAGGAAAGGCAGAACACCTCACATACCTGGCAGCAGCGTGGTTCAACACTGTCATTGATGCTGTACCGTAATAAAATAAAAAAGAAGAGCAGTGCAGGGGTGTAATGAACCACATATAGCCAGAAACTATTTTTAAAAATGGAAAGGCGTTTTAAACCAAAAGCAGTGTTAAAGCATCAGGCATCCTCCTGCACTGCTGAAGCACAGAGCAGCCAGGTGCTGCTCAAGGAGCAGGAGGTGTGTCTGCTCTTCACATGGAGGACTTCAACAGCCCTGTTAGTCTCACACTCCAGGCTAGGTTCCAGTGAGCGTGGCAGCGCCTGAGCTAAATCTTATCAGAGGCATGAGCTTATCATGAGTGTGAGCTCTGGCTGGCCCTCATGGCACTGCTCACAGGGTGACCTTTAAGGGCCTGTGGTAGTTAATGGAGCTGGACATGGAGTCTGGAGCTGGTCATATCAGTCTCAGGAAAACTTTCCTTAAGAGAGAGGCCTGAGTGTGCCAGCAGCACTTTCTCTCTCCATTATTTGTGCCTGTTATCTCTATTCTAGGAGAGAGAACAAAAGTTTCAAGCCACATTGAATGCCACTGCTAGCTGGACTACATTGCCCTATGTGATCTTTCCATGGTTTCATTTAAACCAAGGCTGCTTTCCCATTTTCTTTCAAAATCTGTGAGAAGTTGCCGCTTTTCCCATCTGGTGAGACCTTATTTCCTCTCTCTCTCTTGTTTTTTGCCTTTTGCACTTCACAGACTCCTACCAAGGGTGTCTGACACTTTGCCTTTCAGGGCAGCCTTCTAATTGCCTGTGTAAATGGAAAGTCAGATGCCCAATCCACATTCCAGCAAAGGTGATAATCAGGGAGCTCCTCTGGCTTTGGCTGGCAACAGCTGGAGTCTGGGAAAAGGGAACCCAGGTCAAACGGGAGTGGGGAGATGATGGGAGTGGCAGGGAGTATGACAGAGATCCTGCAGTACTTTGATGTCTTTAGAGGTCTTGGGCTCCTCTGTCCACTCCTGGAGCAGGTATAGCAGAACAAGGTGAACAACATCAGCATACTTCAGATTAAAATAGAATAAAATGCTCATCACGACTGCTGCCTCTGGCCTATGCTCTGGAGATGCTTGGGCAATCCAGAGCTGCTGGGGTGCCTTGGTTTCCTGTGGTAAAACCAGCAGGTGCAGAATGGCCAAGAGTTTTTAACCATGGCAGGAGATAATAAATTCTCTGGAGATACTGGGCACTGGAAAGTCATATCAACAATCCATAGCTCTCTGTATTCTTTTTTTTAAATATAACTGTTAAATCAGGGTGGGGTTTTGTTTGTTTGGGGTTTTTTTCCCAAGCTATTTATTAATTTTGTTTTAAAGTTTCTCCTGAAGTTTTCTTATGGTTTTTCTGTTTACATTTTTATTTCTGCTTTTCTGAGTTACCGCAAATCTGCCTCTTTGAAAGCCTGGGGTGCCTGTATCCCCTCTGAAAGTCTGTTTTCTGAAAATGAATGCAATCAGTTCATAATCATTTCTTCCCAGGTGACTTCCAGCTTTCTGCCCAGTGGTCAGTAGCCCTGTCACCCTTGGGAGGTGCCAGGTAGTTACTGGATGTGGGGTACAGCATCTCACTGGCCATAAGGTGCCATCTATTACTACCAGACCTCAGAGAATTGTTTAGGTTGGAAAAAACCTCCAGGATCATCGAGTCCAACCATTAACCCAGCACTGCCAAGCCCACCACTAAACCATGGCCCACAGGTACCTCCAGGGATGGTGATTCAATCACCTCCCTTGGCAGCCCGTTCATGTTTCCACTGAGGTGTGTGCTATTCCCAGCAGATGTTTCACAAGCTGGCTGCCTCCTTATAAACATTCCTTTCCGTACAGCCCAGACAGGTCTTTCAAGAGCTCCTTGCTCCTTTCTGCCCTGCAAGGTTTGTGCAAATTCCTGATTCCTTGTGCCTGGTTAGAGGCACCCAGCGGAGGCAGCAGGGAGAAGCAGGACAGGCAGCTCGTGCATTCAGGCCACTGGGACACTTTCCAAACATACACAGCTGCTGGCTCTAAACCCAGACTAACTATTCTGGATTAGCCCAGCCTGTAGCAGAGCTGGAAAGCAGTGGTACCTGTCCAGCCCCTCCTCTACAGCTA